AACACACACATACACACACACACACACACACACACACACGAACACACACACACACACACGAACACGCACGCACGCACGCACGCACACACACACACACACGTACGCACACACACATACGCACGCACACACAACACACACAACCTCGTACCCTGACGATCTCCTCTCCCCAAACCCTGAACCCCGTGTCCTCCCCCAGTCTGCGGTGTCGTACCCTCTGGCCGGCCGCGGCCTGGTGGCGCTGACCGGGCGCAACGAGGACGACGGCAGCGCGGAGAGCAACGGCGCGGGCAAGACCAGCCTGGCCACGGCCCTGCTGTGGGCGATGAAGGCGGAGGTGACCGGCTTGATCTTGACAAGCTTGATCTTTTTGGAATGTTGGATCATGCTGTTGAGGCCTTTCTGGGCGTTTGGGGTGTGCTTCCGACCCGTGCAGCCATTTCGTCCTGACCTCATCAGGACCCTAAGTGGCCGTTTCGATGCCCCTTAGGGTCCTGATAAGGTCAAGGGATGCCCAATGCCGTGGTCGTGAGGGGAGCGTTTCCTGGGGGTTGCCAGGCATTTGTCGGTTGCGGTTTTGGGCGTGGTCATCTCAGAGGCACCAGCCTGGCTACGACCCAACTGTGGGCAGCCGAGGCCGATGTGGAGGGTGCCGCCCCTGTCTCTTGCATTTTCCCAAGGATGTGATCGCGTTGAGGGTGCTTTGCAAAGTTGATGTTGTTAAAGGATCTGGGTTTTGCAGCAGCGGCAGCAGCGGCGACAGCAGTGCTGGAAGCAGCAGCGGCTGCAGCAGCGCCAGGACCAGCACCAGCACCAGCACCAGCATTTGCTTGCATATACGCTGCGGTAGCTGGTCAATCTTGCTGCCCCCACCTCCATCGTCCTCCCTCCTACACACACACACACACACACACACACACGCACACATACACACACACACAAACACTAATCCGTCAACACGCAGGGCGGCGAGCGGCGGACGCAGGCGCAAGTGGTAAACGAAAACTCCCGAGGAGCGCGCGTCAGGTGGGTGCTCAATCACTGCTACTCGGTCCCAGGCGCCGCACCCTGCTTGCGCTTGAGGGAGTAAGCAACAGGTCAACAGTCAACAAGCGAGAGCCCGGGGGCCGCCAGCTGCGGCTCTGCCCACAGCGTGCCCGGGGCTCCGGGCACCTAGCCTTTCGGGGCTGGTTGATAGAGGGAGTGATGTTGCCCTCCCTGACAGCTTGGGCGGCATCCTGCCAGCCAATTGGGGCGCCCGTACGCTCAGGGGGCAACTGACTGGCCCGCCGCAGCCCGCAGCCGCGAGCGGCGGCCCGTGTCTCGCCTGTGCGCGGCCCAAATTTGCACCGCGCGCGCGGACCGCCCTGGTGCCTCCGCAGGGTGTGGGGGCGCGTCAACGGGGACGCGTTCGTTGTTGAGAGGAGCGTGCGGCTGCGCAACGGGCGCACTTCAGATGCGAAGCTCTCGCTGGAGATCGGCGGGCAGGACTACACCCAGCAGGCCATTGAGTGGGTCCCGCCCGTCGCGCTGCCGATCGCGGCTGGTGGATGTCAATCTGCGTCGAAGGATTCCTTATTGGGTTCAAAATGCACACGGGGATGCAGGCGGACAGGCGAAAAGGGCACGTGGCATGCTCCTTGTGCTCATCGGGTCAAAGTGTTGACCGGCGTGCTGTGACCGCGGCCCCGCCTGACAGCTGCGCTGCGCTTGAAATCGCCTTTGGCAAAAGGCGCCGCCGGCCCCTCCGTGCCCCGCAGCCTAACGGAGCGGGTGCTGCGGGAGCGCTTCGCGTCTCCCCTGCTGGGGCGCTCCATGTTCTTTGGTCAGGAGGAGCTCATGGCACTCCTGCAGGTGTGTTCGTGAGAGAGAGGGAGGGAGGGGGCGCACCGTATATATGCATGCACGTGGAGAGAGTGAGAGGCCTGGCGGGTGGCCAGGCAGCCCAGGTGTGCGTCCAGTTTTCAGCCCAGCAGGCAGTGCGCGGCCCACTCGACCCCGCCTGATTCCGACCGTGGAGGGGGGGGAGGGTTTGGATGAGGCAAGCGTAGCATTGCGGGGCTCCTGGCGGGCGGCAGACCCGGGCACGCCGGCCCCGTCTCGGCTACGCCTTGCAGCCCGGCCCCCCCTGCCCTCCCGCGGACCCGCCCGTCCCCCCGACCGCCCAACCAGCTCCGACGCTCGCCATTGCGCTCGCGCGTCCCCCTTGCCTGCACCATGCCAGGCGCGGGACCGCGACTTCAAGGAAATCCTGTCAGCCATAGTGGACACCGCCTGCTGGGACACCGCCAAGGCCGCCGCCGCCGCACAGGTGCGCCGCGGCCAGGCAAAATTGGCGCCGCCGTAAACCCGTCCTCGCGTGCCCCCGCGCGCGGTCTGGCGGCCGGCCGGCCGCGGTGTCGGATCTGGGGGGACGCGAAATTATGAGTCTGGCGCCTGTGCGGTGTCCTTGTCACCGGAAGTCTGTGGGACGCCGGTGTGCAGATCTCGCCACACTGTTGACATCTCGTGTTGACATCTGACATGCACATGCCTTGTTACCCGTGTCGTGCACCACGCCAGCCAGCCGTGCCTGCGCTGCCAGCAGCCCCCAGACACACGCGACCGCGCCGCCGCGCCAGCCGCCGCCGCCGCCGCCAACGATGGCCGCGCCGCTCAACGTGCGCACCGCAGCTCAAGGCGCACAACGCTGACCTGGCTTCGTGCGACGCCGGGGCGCGGCACATGGCGGTGCGCCGGCGCCGCCGCTGCTGCTGCCACCGCGCGCACCTTCTCCTGGGGGGGGCCAAAACTGCGTGCATTCCTGGGGCTGCTTGCTGCTGTCGCTCAGACTGCACCCAACTGCCCCCCTCCAGCCTGGTGTATAATCAATGGGCATGAGCACTCACACCATTGCAAGCCCGTTCTGAACCATTCGAATCCAAACCTTGTTTGCAGGCGGCCGTAGAGAGGACGGAAGCTGAGCTGGCGGCGGCAGGGCGCGAGGAGCGGCAGTGGGAGGTGGCGCGGCAGCAGCAGCAGGTGCGGCGCGTTTGGCAATCGGGGCACAGGAGGCGGGGCGGTCCTTCGGACGCTGACACACACAGTCGTCTCTCTGCGTGGGAGCTGTGGCAAAAAGGCTCGACCAATTTACCAACTGGGCTGCCTGCAGGATGTAAGAGAGCGTCGCCACTGCGAGATCCTCTGCTTACCATCACCCCTTCCCTCTCCCTCAGCCGCCACGTCAGCCGCCACGTCAGCAATGTCACCTCCTTGCATGGCAAAGCCGTGTCGTTCCATATCACCGTCATGTCAATCCATTCGCCCATGCTACATTGCTCGTTTTGCATCGGCTTTCACACCACCCCAGGCTGCAGCCCAGCACGAAATCGAGCAACGCCGCCAGCAGCTGCGCGGCCACCTTCTTTCCGGCTTCCAGATCAGATCAGACCTGTCGATCTGGCTGGAAGCCGCGCAGGTGGACGAGGGGCGGCTGCTGTCGGAGAGGGAGGAAGCCGAGCGGCAGCTGCAGCGGCTGCAGGCGGAAGCCGAGCGGGCGCAGGCTGAGCTTGACGCGGCGCTCGGGCGGCAGGCGGCGGCGCGGGCTCAGTGGGAGGAGCAGCAGCAGCAGGCGCAGCAGCGGGCCGCAGCCCGTGCCGCAGAGGCGGCGGAGGAGGACAGGCGCCGCCGCCAGCAGCAGCAGCAGCAGGCGGCAGGCGGACCGAGCGGCGCAGAGGGCCTCCCCTGGTTTGATGAGGCTGCAGCGGAAGCTTCCGACCGCGCCCGCGCTGCTGCGTGCCGCGCGGCGCGCGCCGCGCGCGACGCCGCGCACGCCGCCGCGGCGGCGCTGCGGGCGAGGCTGCACGCGGCGGAGGGGCGGGCGGTGCAGTATGGCCAGCTAGTGCCACAGGGCGGCGGCGTTGGGGACGGGGGGGCCAGCGGCGGTGCCGGGCGCCTCGCAAGCGTGGTTGCGGCCGCGTCGGCGCCGCTGCCGGCGGCGTGGCAGCAGCACGCGGCGGGCCCGCAGCGGCGGCGGCCGCGCTCTCCGGGGTCCGTGGCGGCCCCGGTGCCTAGGGATATGACGGCTTTTTGGTCCCACTCGGCGCCGCAGCAGCGAGCAGGGCAAGCCGAGCCTCAGCACACGTGCAGTCCGATTGACCTTCTGAGCGGCGGTGGTGCAACCAACGGGGGGCCCAACGGCGGCGCCGGCGCCGGGCCGGTCTGCGACAGGTGCATGCAGCCGATCGACCCTGACGCTTTCCGAGGCAACCTCGAGGAGATGTGGTCCGAGGTTGAGGATCTGAGGCTCCGCCTCGACGAGTCACAGGCGGCCGAGAACGAGGCAGCGGCGGCTGTGGCGAGGGCAGAAGAAGACCTGGACCGCGGCCGCAGGGCGGCGGCGGCGGAAAGGGCGCGGGTGGCGGCCGAGCGGGAGTGGGTCGTCCGGGAGCGCGCCGCGGCGTCCGAGGCGGCGGCGCGCGAGGAGATGGCGCGGCGCCTGGAAGCCCAACGGGCGGCCGGCGAGCGGGACCGCGCCGCCG